GAGTGTCATCTGGGAGTTAATCCAATGCTTACAGATGCTGGGAGTGGTAAATTCTTATTTTCCAATCCCCCATCATTTGATGGTCAACCAGCAGATATTTATTTTGTTCCTGTTCCCAGAGTATTTTTCCGCAGGACACATTTCCCTCATCTGGCATGAGCTTCTGTGAGAGCGTGGCTGATATTTATGTAATGGTTTGTGTGTTTGTAGAAGTGGTGAGCTGGGCAGCTGTAAAAAGTTTTCCAGAGGATCCGGGTGCAGGCACCTGGCCCTGTGAAGACTTACAGAGCAGGAGCCAGAACGAAAGACCAGATGAACCCCACTGGTTCATTATTCTCATAGATGATTGGTTAAACAAACCCTTACATGTCTTGACACTCAGGGATGTTGACAGAAGCTGCTGCCCTCTATCTGCCCGCCCAATCCTATCCTTTTCCACTCCGCAAACATCAGTGCTCCATTGCCTGCTCTCTCTGGCTCGTTTACAGGCAGTGTCACCCAGGCGAGCCACGCTCGCTGACCGGCCAGAGCTCCAGCGTAGCCACGAATCCTTTGAAGTTTGCTCTAATCAGCACCGCAGCTGCAGAGAGCTGCTGTGGAGGGGGCTGCTGCTGGTGGGGGGTTGGTTGTGTAAATGCAAATGTGACCAATATGAAAACGGATTATTATTCCATACAAAGCAGCACTCTGGGTATATGCACCAGTCTAAAAATAGCTATGAACCAGAGCTATTTTTGCTCTTTTTAACTACCTTGTGTCAGTTATTTTATTGCTCACTAAAACTGCTACAGTGATGTGCTGTGAGTTTTTTTTTATTTTTTTCATAATATTCATCTACTCTAATCTATTTCAGGCAGGCTGGACTAAAGATTTCCCATCATCTGCGTTTTCTAGTCTTACAGTTGCTTCCTCAGGATCTCTTGGGATGGGTGATTCCTAAGACTGCAGTCAGGGTGAACTGCTGGTCATCCCCAGAGACTTGCCTCCTGCCAGCATTAGTATGGGCAGTTGAAGTACAGAGGCTTTCTTCTCATATCTCCGCTGGACCAGCACAGCCCTGTTGCCGCAGCTGTGTGTATTATGTGAATGACATCTCTGCTAAGCCTTGAATCACTCAGAGCACATCTGACAGATTGTTGAAATTCAGTGAAGCAGACCTGTCAGCAATGTTGCCTTTTGTAAACACTGAAAATCTCTGGACTCAGGTTCACTGTTGCTTTTACAAACATGAGCAAAGAAATGAAAGGTTAGTAATACCTTGCTAGCCGAGGTTAAGTCTGCATTATCCCAATCGTACAACTGTCTGCAAATGTCCTAAGTGGCCACAGCTCGTAATGGACATTTATCGTCCACTTGATAACTTGATTTAAGTCATGAATAGGAGCTAATGATTCCTCGCCGCAGATTATATTACAGCCAGCGTGCTCCTTAAAGCACTAATGTAACTACAGGATCAGGAGAGGAGGGCAGCGCGATCTGTTCCCCACACTTAGGAGCTCAAAGACCTCGACCTTAGAGTGGGTGTTCACTGTCAGACTCACCCATTACTTAAGTATGGGTTTGGTTAAAGCTACATTTAGACCATTATAAATCCTCCTCCGTAACCACTCACAGTTGGCTTGGTTTGGATGGAGAAGAAAGGAATATTATAGGTTAACCTCTGCTGCCTTTTCCAAGTGCTTTAAACGATATAGGTTCTTAAGCCAAGTGATAGCGTTCACAAAGTATAAATGCATCCAAAAATACTTCACTTACTGGGCTGACGACTGGCCATTTTGCAAATGTATAGTATTATGTAGTTGTAAAAACGCTTTGAGGTAAGTCTTTCTTTGTACCTTTTAGTATGTTAGTTTATTAAATTTATTTTAAGTGGAAGATGAATGTAAACTTGAAATGCCAATCAATAACTGTTTCATCCTTAAAAGCGCATTAAATCTTAAATGCATTGCTCAATGAAAGCTTAAACAGTTAACATGAGCAAGCAAGCAATACCTTTTACCATGCCTAGAATGAGCTTAATTTAAAATTATGTAAAAACCATCGGTTCTAAAGGGAATTAAAGCACTCAAGCTATAATGGGGACAACAAACCTTCATTTGAGTGCTAGCAGATGAATACATTTTCATTGTTGATTAATCTGCCAATCTGTTTTGTCGAATTTTCTCAAGTCTAAATTTTACTATCAAGTAAGAGTAAGAAAATCAGCGAATACTCACATTTGAGAAGTTTTGCATTTCTGTTTCAGTAATTTGTCTATTGATTAAGCGGCTTTAGTATGTATGACAGAAGGCTAAACTATTCCTTTAGTGAACACTCAGTCACCCTAGAAAGCATTTCATGGGTTAACCCAACATATGGGACTCATGAAAGCATTGTACAGCACATGAGCAGAAGGTTGTTTACCATTTATAGCTGACTGCACATCTCCTTAGACAACAAGACAGTGGCGGTGACCACGGGATTCTCCCCCTGCCGATGCTGGGTGCCATAAAGACCACCCAGGAAGGGAGGGTGTGGTGTTGTTGATTGTGTTTTCTGATGGGCCTTTTTGAGGAGACAAATGGATCTCTGCCCCCGCTCACTATCACACGTCATAGTGGCAAGTCCATAAACCTTTTATGAGCTTCAAGGAGAAGTTAGCATGTTTATTGTGGAACAAATGGCTGAATACTGAAGAAGTGGTCTTGTGTGAATTTCCACTCTGAAATGTTGTTCCTGGTTTGCCTGTAGTGGAAAACTGTTTGTGCAGCTGGTTCCTAATAGACTCAAGTTTGTTCAGTTTGAAAGCTGCTGAATATTGAAAATCCAGTGTTGGCTGTCAGCATATTTTAAACATGAATGTGATTTGTTGTTATTTGGAAGGCAGGCTGGTTTACTTAAGTTGTTTGTTCTTTCTCTTCCCCTGTTCCCTCTCTGTGGTGTAGTCCTGTGACCAGACACCCCTGGCTATCTTCATACTGATGTAATATAGAGAGAAGGACATCGCCTTGAGTGATTCACCCAGCATTCCTGTGATAAAAGAGATGAAAACCTAAGCCTTAGCGTTTCATTCTGCAGATTCTTTTTTTCCCACAATATTGAGTTTGGATAAGTGTCATTCTCTAATAAACTGGAGTTGATCTTATATGAATGACTTCACCGGCAGAAGTAAAGGCAGGATAGTAAATGAGTTCTAGCAGACAGCCAAGAGGGCCAGTTTTATCTCTTGAACAAGTATTTGACAACCTGTTTCAAACCATGGTTCGATTTTTTTCTTAAATATTGTGTGGTGATTGAAGAGTCTGTCTAGTTTTTTTTTGTTTTTTTTTTACGTTAAATTGCAAATAAGGATCTGTATCTCTTCACCTAACAATCTGTCATTTAACACACTGCCTTCATCTACATTGACTGCTGTCAAAAAAACCTCACGACATGTCTTGCTTCACAGTCTGCTTATCTTGAAAACCTGTTCGCATGAAGTGTTTGCAGCATACATGTACTAAACCCCAGAATTTCCTCTAAACCACATAGATAAAAAAGTGCTGTTTTAGATCTAAAAAGATTAAAACCCTTTTACCAAGTTGCGATTCTCGTTCAAGTTGCAACCTTACTATCAGTTATATTTGTATTAGCGATGGGGCCGATCCGATCCAGTATCGGTATCGGGACCGATACCAGCGTAATTCTCAAATCGGAATTTCCCGATCCAACCTGCGCAGATTTCCCGATATCCATGAGCCATGTGCGCGCTTTAACGTTGTCGGTTGAAATGACTCCACAGGTGATTCCTGCCGGCCGGTCTGCTATCTGGCTGCAAACTGTGGAATGGATTTCCTGAACGGAGGCGCGGCTCAATGAGACAGAGTTATGAGACACGCCCCGCTCAGGAAATCCATTCCGCAGTTTGCAGCCAGCTAGTAGGATAGCATTGAGCAGCATTGTGGCTAGCCAACATGTCCGCTGTGTGGAAATACTTTACACTGGAAACACCACAGAGCAAGACAGCAAAATGCAATGTTTGCAAAGCCGTAATTCAGAGACACAGAAGCGCCCTCGCGTCGTAACGTACAACACTACGAACGCAATCAAACATTTAAAAAAGCACCACAGGAAACAGCACAAGGATTTTTTAGGCGAGCTGTCAGGAATCACTTGTAGAGTCATTCCAAAAACAAGGTAAACTGCAGGCAGACTGTGTGTGTGTGTGTGTGTGTGTGTGTGTGTGTGTGTGTGTGTGATGTTTACACACTATTTCAAGACTCAAATATTTGACATTTTGGCAAGTTAATAAATATTGACATGACAATAAATTTGAAACCCTTACAGTTGCATATTTGTTTTCAGGATGGGATTTTTCCTGTTAACAGGATTTCCTGTTTTTCTGACTTCCTTTTCTGACCTTATACTTACCTCAAGTTGCCTTTTGGGACATACATGCATACATACGTACATATCATACTTGCCTGTTGAGAGGAGTTTATTTCAGCCTCATATATAATCAACAATAATGATAATAATAATATTAAAGCAAACACAGCTCTGGTATCGGAATAGTATCGGTATCGGCCGATATCCAAATTCAGGTATCGGGATCGGATCAGAAGTGAAAAAACGTGGATCGGTGCATCCCTAATTTGTATTTATTGATGTTGTTTTAGATTTTGATAATAATAACAAGTTTACATTTTTCTTGTTTTCTACATAAGAAAACGATACGCTATTTGGGATTTTTAAAAGTTTTTATTATGCAACAGGTGGAATTATTTTCATCCAAATGGTTTGGCAATTTAGCACTTGCCTTCTTTCAAGGACAAATAGCAAAAGCATGTGCTCATCACACACACCCATAATGAGGATAATGTGGTTTGGCTGCAGTCCACAATCCTACAAGTGGACTGAGAGAAGGCTGTGCTGTACTGACACATGTCTGACAGAGTATCTCTTAGCCTGCCTCAAAGTACAAGCAGCATTGTCATTGTTGGTGAACAGAAGTGTCACCGGTGTGTGTCTCTCATCTGCAGAGCTTCCAGAGAACTGGACGGACACGAGGGAGACCCTTCTGGAGGGCATGGTGTTCCAGCTCAAGTACCTGGGGGTCACGATGGTTGAGCAGCCCAAAGGAGAGGAGCTGTCTGCGGCTGCTGTCAAGAGGATAGTGGCCACGGTGAGAGACAACACACACCTACACACATAACTGGAATAGCTTAATCTGTGGGCACCCAAAATATCTTGTCAAAGCACCCTTATTCAGAAAACTATTGCCCAGAAATGGGTTTCACTCAAGCACATGCGATGTCTTTCCCACTTCATCACCTCCACCACTTGGAAATCATAGTCATCCGCTAGTTTTCTCCTGTTTATGACCTGACTGGCACCTCGGTGAAAAGTGCCTGCCTGGCTGCCTACTTTCCCCCCGGAGGCCCAGGCTGACATTTGGAGGAGGATGCAATTAGTTTAGACAGTGTTGCTCAGTGTATGGCTCAGCCAGCTTTATCATGGTAGAAAAGGCTTAATGTTATTGGATCTGGCAGCTCAGTGGATAATGAAGTTAGCGGCGGCCGAATGGTGGGACTCGGGACACGATGATATATGGAGAGGAAGGCTCTGATTGGGCCTAATCTGTTGGCTGCCCTTGGTGTCCCTCTGAAAAGGATGCTAGGCAACTGGATGGGATATTTTTTCACTTGTAATAGGTGAACTTGGTGTAAAGTAATATTTTGTCCGCCCAAGTTGGAAAAGTTGTCATTTACTGAATTGGATTCTCACACATGCTAGTTGTTGTTAAACTTGTTTCCTTAAGATTCTTTATTCAACTTGTTTGTGTGTTTGTTTTGACGATGTCTTTGTTAATTGGCTTATAGCATATTTTCCTACTGTTAATCAAGCAAGCAGCTTAGCTATCTTTGGTTCGAAGGTCTATCTTATCTCCAAGAATTTAACTTATCTTTTGATCGGCATCTTTTGACCTACAGTCTGGATTTCATGAAAACTTGATGACAGAAAATGTGCTTTGTATCTTGATTGTTTTGCTATATCATATCCCTGGCATCAGTGGATTTTGATTGGTTGTCCTGATTGAAAAAAAAAATTCAGAGTCTGAGTTGTAATTTGCATAAATTCAAGGTTGATCCTTTCTTATGTCTCTGTCTCACTCACACACCCTGTTTTCTCCACTCTTTCTTTCTCCTTCATCACTTCCTTCCAGGCCAAAGCCAGTGGAAAAAAGCTCCAGAAAGTCACATTAAAGGTCTCCCCACGAGGAATCATCCTTTACGACAGTGCCTCCAATCAGCTGATAGAAAACATCTCCATATACAGGTCAGTCCTCCTCCTCCTCCTCCTCCTCTAGCTGTTAATATTTCTAACACAGTCCGTGTCCCCGGCTGACTCGGGCGGCCCCAGTTATGAAATACTTTCACCCTAAGCTTGTCCTTATCACCTACAATAAAACAAAAGTTGTTATTTCCCCATTGCTGTCATCCATCACAGGATGGATGTGAGTGTAAGGAGGTGTGGCAGTATAATGTGTGTGTGTGTGTGTGTGTGTGTGTGTGTGTGTGTGTGTGTGGGGAGCTCAGTCTATCAGCAGTTTGTCTCATCAATCTCAACTCTCTTGGGAGCACTACAACAGCTGTATGTCTGAGCTTGAGACACACACACACACACACACACACACACACACACACACCATTCTCTCTAGTAAATGCCTACAGATCTCACTTGCGTGCCACAGCCTGCACGCCTAAAGCTGTCTAACCTCCATCGGCCTCGAGCTTATGAGCCGAGATTGAATCACTTTACTAAAATCGCGCGTTTATGAGTCAACATATGAAGGAGAGATGGGACTTTCCATCATTTTTCCAAGCATGAATAGGCTTATGTTGAATAATTTCTTCTAAAAACTGGCAGATTGAGGACAACATCTCAACTGTTGACAGTTGTCTAAAGTTATCCAGGAACAGTTTTATTTACAAGTCTACACTGGCCATGTTTCTGGCTTTCCAGTGTCTCCTTGGGATGTTCTTCGATTTTTGACAACAGTTTCATTCTGCCCACCTATTCAATTAGGCATACAACATTTATCTATATTTAAAGATCTGATCTCTACATTGCTGGGCTGTTTTTCCAGATTCAACCTGTGGGACACTGCACACAGAAGTTCTTTGGAGGAGGCAAAAGGCAAAATGACTAACAAAAAATGTCTTACACGTATTTCTAAAATTCAATTGATAATGTTTGCATGTTGCTGTAAGCTTTATCCAATCACACTGAGATCAAACTGAACAGTCATGGTCAACATCAGTTGAAGTGTGTTCTGTGCGGTTTTGATTCATTGATAATTAGGGCTGCAGCCAACGATTAATCTGATGATGATTGTTTTGATTAATCTTTTTGTCTAGAAAATATGGGAAAATGACCCTTCAAATTGAAAGAAAATCAGTCCAGTAGCTGTAAGAAAGCTTGCTTAACATTTTAGAAGCTGAAAGCAGGAATGCTTGGTATTTTGGATTGAAAAAATTACATAAATGATGAGTTGATTATCAAAATTGCTGATGATTAATTTTCTGTTGACTGATGAAGTTCCTGCTTGCAATGCACCCATGGAGATAACCATCACTGATTAACTGTGAAGAAAACTTAAAAATGTGCTGATTCTCAGGCATATTCTGGGGTAAAAGTTGTATTTTTTATTTCTAAGCCAATTTATGTTTTTCTTTATTTGTGATGCACTGTGGACTGAATCTTAAAAGAAAAAGTATCATGTCTGCGTAATCAGATCTGACAGCGTTACGATTTTGAGAAGAAGTAGCTTAAGTACCTTTAATGACCTTTTTCACAGCAGCCACTTTGACATGAAATAGTAGGGTAAACACAGGTGTTACCAATGATACTAATTAAAGCTCTGTTCCATTTAGTGTAGCAGAGCCTTTCCAGTGAGCCAACATGCACAGTAGCAGCACCCTGACTCTGTTTGAACTGAATGGAGTTGAACCTTAACTAGTGTCATTGCTAACACGTTTAACCTATAATTTTATGACAAATTGGATGCTGTGAAAAAGGTCTGTTGCCTCCATGAGCTGCTGCTGACCATATTGGTAAACGAGCCAAATGAGCGGGCCAAACTTCATGTTATTTTTAGATCACTGGCTTGCACCTGTATCTTTCATCTCACGCAGTATCTTTGGCTCATATCTCTCCCTCTGCGTCTCCTCCTCCAGCTCCATTTCAGATATATTTATCGTGCAGCAGATTTTCTTTTAATTTGTGTGTAAAAATACCCAATGCATACAACCCCCTTATCATAACGCCTCTCTAGTAAAGTGCTGCACTGATAATGGATCCTCTCATTTGAAGAATATTAGGTAAATAATACAGCAATTAAAAGGCTGATTGCGTGAGGTGATTCCAGCTGTGACCCTAGGATGGTGTGAAGACATAAAGCAGCTGGTTGTATCTCGCACCCCATTGGAGCTTTCCTCCCCAGACATCTGCTAAGAAGATGGACGACCAATAAAATAAATGGATTTGCCTAGACACCCAATTTCCCCGACGCCCTCCCTCCCAAACATTTGCCCGTAAATCTTGGCTATGTTGTGTAGACCGCAGCTGTGATTCTTAAACCTCTCCAAACTTTTCCCCCCTTTCTCTTACTTATTTGTCATTTCCACACCTTATATTCCTCAGTTATTAGTTAACCAAGTGTGTGTCCCACAGTGAAGTTGGAGCCGATGCTCGAAGGGGAAAGGAAGGACAGATGGCAGACATTCATTATAGCCTTCCTCCATCGTTTTGGGTGTCCCTCCCCAACTGGCCAGTGTACCCGTCACTTTGGTATTAGGGTAATGACATGGTAATCAAATAGTGGAGAAAAGCTATTTGTGAAGCATTACAGCGTAATTTAAAGCCTTACTCTGCACCTGAGACTGACAAGACTGATACCGCTCTCACATCCGAGACAGAAGAATCTCAGTGCAGAAGGTGACCTTCTATACGACAACAAGACAGGAACAATCACCTCTGTGTGTATGAGTCTTTTCATGTACCTTACAGGGGCCAGGCCCAATCCAAAAGCTATCATTTAAAACTCTGTATGTGTCAAGGTTGTTAAACAGGTGGACACAGTGGGAGTATGATGTAGTAACTTGTTTGAAAAGCAGAAAGGAAATGGCACAGATGTCCGCCGCGCACGTGTTCAGTTCAAATTCACGACATTGTTAAGCTCGGTACCTGCACACATCTGGAGTGTGTATTTGATGATGTGCAGAGTGGTGAGCTTCTAAGTGCAGCTGGCTTCAAGAATGCCAGGGATTTTTTTTATATATCACTTCAGAGAAATGCTGGATTGAACACTTTGAATCAGATTGCTGGACTAGCTTAAGGGCTTAGTGCAGATGAAGTTGCACGATGGCCCTGTTTGATCTTTGATGACTCAGTGAAGTCTTAGAGTTTTTATTAATGTGTGTGCATCTGCGTGTGTTTTTTGTATTCAGAATATCATATTGCACGGCGGACAAGATGCATGACAAAGTGTTTGCCTACATCGTCCAGAGCCAACACAATGAGACTCTGGAGTGTCATGCCTTCCTCTGCCCGAAGAGAAAAATGGTAAGTAAATGAGTTTGTGCAATTATGTGTCCAAGATACCCACTGTGTGTACAAAACACAAACACTGGCTGTTTACTGCAAGTGGACACACAATTTGAACTGGATCCAAAGATATAATGTTTACTACTTTTTTCGATGTCTTTTCTAATAAAAAAGAATATGGGGAGATTACAGGAAATGTGCTTATTTGCTTTTTTGTGGAAAGTAAGATGAGAAGGTCAATACGACTCTTAGACATGAGAGTAGTATCTATCTTCTCATCCAACTCTTGGCAAGAAAGCAAATAAGCGAATAGCCCCAATTTTGGAATTATTCCTTTCATGCTATTGGTTGCATATAAATACATGCATGCCCCTGGCAACCTGTGGAAAGCGCTTTATGCAGTTACAGAATGTTGCAGAGAGACCTGAGAACAACTGCACCACCACCTTGAGGCACACTTTATTTGTATCTATGCAAACATCCAAGTATTAAGTCAGGAAAGATGAGGAGTTAGAACATAAAGGGCGTGGGAGGTTGTCATCTCCCTCTGGCATTCTCTCCATCCCTGGAGGTTTGCAGAACAAGGGAGCCACTCCCTCCTCTTCCTTCCCCTCTCTAATTTAGTTCTGACCAAAAGGCCACGTATCCTCCCAGTTATATAAACAACGTGTCATGAAACTCACGGGTTTCTCTTCCTCCTCTTCAAGTGTCTGTGAAGGAACTCCTTCTTGTGTTGGTGGTCAGTTCCTGTTTTTAGCGCAGTCATAACTCCTTCCTTGATGCCCCCCGCAGATGAGATTCTTATAAATATTATTCATCTTCCTTTTATTCTTTCACGCTATCTTTCTGTCTCACTCTTGTCTGTCTCTGCCTCCCTCCAACAGGCCCAGGCGGTAACCCTAACAGTGGCTCAGGCTTTCAGAGTGGCGTTTGAATTCTGGCAGGCTGCCAAAGAAGGTACGCATGGTCACCCCCGACGACCAGAGGAGTGTGATGGATGAGAGAAAATGTTCCCCCCCTCTCCCCTCTCCTCCCCCACTGTTGTTATTCTCTGCACTTATTGTACACATCCTCTATCTCCCTTCATAGTGAAACAGCGATCCTGTCTTTTTCCTCTACGGAGGTTTCCTGCACAACGTGGAAACATACATTTCTTTGTGTCTTCCTGGTCTTGGCCTTGACACTCTGTAGAGGGGTCATGTGAAATACTGGAGGACAGTTCGGCTGTTCCTGCCAGTCACTGTTGTCCTTCACACACACACTCGCATACGTGTCCCCATTGATTGAACCAGTCGCCCCCCACAGTGGTTAAATCATTGCCCAGAGAGCACAGAGAACTGTTTTAGTTTAGTGACGCCTCTTTATTACAGGCAACTCAGTCATGGTTAAAGACTCGTCTAGGTATCGACATGGGGAGGGGTGGAGAGGAATTAAGGCTAGCCTGGGGCAGAGGTGGGATGACTGGAGTAAATCTTCTCTGTTTCCTTTTACAGTGAGAATAGGACTCAGATGTGTGGGAGCTGGGATTTTCCCAGGTTATATTTTACCTTTACTGCAAAAAGGTTCTTTTCCTCCTCATTATACATTTTTATTTTTCTGTTTTATGTAAAACTTGTAAAACCATTCAACCTTTTTAAATCTGTGAGCACCTTTTTTTAATAGTAGAGTACAGTGAGGCGATAAGCAGACAGTGCGTGTTCAGGCACCACCGTGGACACAGCAAGCGATCAAAGTGCTGTGTAAGGATGGTGTCACACATTCTTTTGTACAGCTCAGCAGAACATGCATGTAATTTACTGCATGTATGACTCCAGAGTAAATGAGCAGTTCTTTCCACATAATATAGGTTTTTTTCAGCACCACCCCCTCTCATCTTCTTCATCTTTACACAAGTGTTGCCTTGTAGGTGCTCTTTGAATTTTGTGATTATCCATTGTTGCTGTCTGCCTTGTTTTGCACCTGGCACCTTCACCCCCTCTTCCTCGTCGAGTTATTTTCTTTTCCCTCTCCTCCCCCCATCGCAGCACTTGCTTCTGTTTATGATATGGAGGGAGACGGGCAATGGAGGGGGGATGGGGGGGATGAGGAGAGAGGGCAAGAGAGCATGAAAGGCGGGGCAGAGAGGGGTGTCGGGATGGGGAGTGTGTAAGAGAAAAAGGAAAATGATTGTGCGTTTGTGTCAGTGGGAGCTCAACCTCCTGACAGATTCAATGTCGGTGCCATTGATCCTGTCTCACGCGAAGGCGAGCTTATTTATTCAGTCCTTTAGAGACACACACTTGCACTGTATGAAAATTCTACTTGCCTCTTTTATTTACTCCACATTTCAACCCCTTCTTCTTCTTCTACTGTGATGTTAAGGAATGTTTTAATGTGGGCAGTGGGCACATTTCCATTTTTGGGAGGGATTATTTTTTTCTCAAGATCAAGGCCACGGGCTCCTCGCCTCACGCCTCTTCATTTGGTTGTTTGTAATTTTGAGTTGAATATTAAAATCTGCTTCCTCGCTTGCTCTTTCCTTGGCTCAACATTCTTCACCTCTCCTCGTCTTTGCTTTCTAGTCGGCCCCAGTAACCCGTTTAATTTGGCGATCTGTTCTCTTCTAGTTCAGTACGATGTCACTGATGAAGGAGAGTTGATGCCTAGCTGGTAGGGGGTTACGGAGGGGAAAGGAAGAATATTTATTTAAAAAAAGAAGCAGTGGTTTTCTCTTGTGGCAGAGAAGAAGAAAGAGCGAAAGGGGGCTGGGGGGGAATCATTTCAAGTCTGTTTCATTAAAGTTACAAAACCCCGGAGGATCAGGGCAGGAAGAAGGGGTGCCTACTGTATGTCTGTCTAGCTTTGCTGCTTCTGATTCTTACGAACTCTCCCCCACCACCCACAGCGGTTCTCCACAGCCCACCACACATTCCTGACCCACATTCCTCTGAATATCGCAGATCCCATCTCTGTTCATAGAATATTCACTGTAAACACTACAGCTAGCTTTGAACTGGCGTATCTTTAAGTTGCTTCCATGTTTAGCAGGAAGTTGACACTCAAATCAGACTGAAAACTGTACACTGGAAAGGCCATGGGAGAAAAACATGTGCCTGGGGTAATTTTTGTAACACTGCCATCACTAAGCTACCCAGGCTCATGGGAAATGGGATGGGTTTTTTTAGACCAAGGATGATGATGAAATAACAGAACACCTTCTTGCCTGTGAGCAGGCCTCTTTAGGATAAACAGTATGGAAAGTCTGAGTTTGAGTGGGTCAGCATCTTGGCCCCTCGAGGGAGTTCTCACACTTGCTCAGAACGTCAGTTTGTGTGATTTCCCTGTGATATTTTAGAGAGGTGTTTATTTATGCATTTCTGAATAGATTAGTTATCAAGCGTCTCAGAGAAGGAAACCACTCCTACATTTGATCTATCTTAACATAAAAAAAAGCACTCCTACCTTTGCTGTTATTATGAGTCCTAACCTGTTCGAAGTTCCCAGGAAATGGCATTCAGGCAGAGAGATTGTGTGACAGGAGAGATGTTTTAGGAGCTTATGATGACAATAGGCTTATTGAAAGAATGTTTTGAATAATATTTGAGACTGACCTTGTGTGGGATGCACAGGGAATAGGACACGAGGGAACAAGGACAATGCAGCTTCTGTCAGAGCCCACAATTTGGGAAGTAACAAATCAGACTTTGATCACACTTACACGGCTCATAATGCGCACAATGGGAGTCCTCAGTGAAAGAGGACTAAAACTTATTTGAACACAATCATGTCTTCCTGGCTTCCTAGTTGTCAGCTGCATAATGAAGACCATACAACAGTAAGCTGTCAGTTCATATTGTTACAATGCATTTCCCAAGAGAGTGTGATGAAAGAATAATCTCCCCTGTCATGCACATAAGTTAACAAGGGATATATCTGAAAGGTGAAGTGGACAGTGGAAGAGAGGATTCCATGTTGCACCACAGCACACAGATTGTTTGCAACATGTGCCTGTGCCAGATGCAGCGGCACTATTCTAGGAATCATATAACCATGTGGTTGGATGGGGCTAATTTCTCACAGCTGAGTCAAATTAACCTAATATTTTAATTTACGTAATAAGCTTTTATTGCGTATTGCTTTTTGTTTACAGTCTACTAATTAGCGTATTTATAAATATATGATATTTATTCATTTTGTCATAATATTTTAGCACGTATAAGGTCACCTTAGTTATTTACCTATATGCATAGAACGTACACATAATAATATAAAGTGTTATTTTCTGCACCTTGAATGTCACCACTGTCTAATATTTCAAACCGGGATTGAATTACAAAACGTCATCATAGTTTCTACTTGGCAGCTATTAGTGTTGTAAAACTGTAACATCTCACCCTCCCCTAGGAGTAGTCCTGTTTCTTGCTGATAGCCAGTGTAGGAGGCTGTATAGATTAGTCTCACTCTGATGTAGGAGCGTTTTTAGTCCTAGGTTAACTTGAGTGACTGTGAAATGCTTGATAGATATGGGGCCAGAAATGACTCTACTCCATACCGAGAGCAGTGTTAGCAGGAAGTACAGTGAAAACTTGCACTGTGTGAAAACCTATTATCCGTCTGACCCCGATGCTATGCCTCCTATGTTTAAACACTGCTGCTACTGTACTTATTGCTACATACTAAATACTTATAAAGTATGGCATGTGTTACAATGCTGGAAGCCCAGGCCCTCTAGGTTTCAGCTGGCAGATGGCTTGAGTAATGGCCTTAACCTTATCTGCCAACTAGCTGCTGCTAATTTGTTTACACTCACTTTATGCTTGGTTAGTGAAACATTCAATACCCACATTTTCAGCAGCTAGAAAAGTAAACAGTTCCCTTAGCGATGCCCTGCGAGGGCCTCTCACCCTGTGGTTACAGGTTCCTGAATCGTCACTTGTCTTTACTGACGGCTCTTTTTCTTCTTTTTGTCCTCTACTGCTGCGCCATTCTTCGCACAGAGAAAGAGAAGCGAGTGAAGTCGGGTTCAGACGGAGAAGGAGCCAGCAACTCTCAGTCGGACAGCTCTGCCAGCCTGGGCAGCCTGAAGGGGGGAGGTGAGTCCTGTCACTCATAATCACGTCTTTCTCTCTCACTCTCACCCTCACCCTCACAGCTATGGTAGCCTCAGGGGAGAAGGAAGAGTATTCACTCACTTGTCAAAGGTTGGCTTATATTGAGGCTGCAGGTTAGCTGACGTCAATCTGCATTTTCTAGGTTATTCTCTCTCACTAGCGTCATTACAATGAACACCAAATGACACTTTTAGGTGATTATGTGTGATGATAATGGCAGTGATGAGCCTCTCTCTAATTGGAAAACATTAAGCCCCCTTGCTGTGTTGTAGATCCATTAAAAACAAATCTTGGTTCACCGATCCCCATGACATTTTAGGATGATAGAGTGCCGTTCCTGGATAAACAGTTGTGTTCTGTCTGACTCTGGAACACAATTACTGCTCCGTTTGTTTAAGCCTGAAAGAGGCCTACATTTTCTGTGACCCCATTGTTCCATTTACTAAGATTCTACAATTCTGATATTGTCCACAGCCTAGATAAGATGAGGAGCATCCTGTTGCCAGTACACTTACTCCTCACAATACTCTCTTTGTCAGTCCGTTTTGCGCGTGCCTTTTCGCTGTTGCACTTTTTATGCCCGAAACCTCCTTTTGGTACTGCAGGTTTAAGTTTGAGACAGAAGCAGTATTTTGTTTTTGCAGGCAAACCTCTGAAATCATCAGCTTTGTACTGAGCTTCCCCCTCTGCTTGGCCAGGTGGCCTCCAGCCAGAGAGGAGGGATCTCTCTAAATCTGCTCTGACACTTTATTCAGGGCTATGGCCTTGAATGTGTAGCGTTTTAAAGCTGACACAGGTTTTAAGGATGATCCCTAGTGAGAAGACCCAACAAAGTCGGACTTGGAAACAGATTGTGGTAACAGAGAGGCCTGGTGTGCGATTTTGGACCAACATTATCCCACTGACCATTCGTTGGGTCATTTGGCTGCCAGCGGATTGTATTTCTGTAAAGCAAATTGGCGTAATTGTACAGCAGAGTAATACAGAGTAGAAGCTTCTGAGTGCCTTTTGAAACGGGCTGTGCATTTCTCTCCTGCCAGAGGTTTTCACTGCCAGCCCTAAAGCAGTGATTGGGGACAGCAGAGCTTTAGAGCTATCACAAGGTTACATTTATATACCCTTCACTTTGGCTGATCAAATGGCACGCCACTGAATCAGAAGGACTCTTGGGATCAGTGGTGTTGTCAGAGGTGAGTCAGCTTCATTCATGAGACATGATACCTTCAACTCTCCGCCGGCGCCAGGCCACTTGCAGTGGCAACAAAATAGAAACAACAGTCTGTTCCTCTTCACTGGGTTAAATATAGGGCTGCAACTAAAGTTTGTTTTCCTTATCAATTAATCTGCTCATTATTACCTCAATTAACTATAATACATTTTATAGACTATAATTGTCTATAAAATGTCAAATAATATTCTGAAATATGCTCATCAAGCCCAAGGTGACATCACATTGCTCGTTCAGTTTTGTCCGACCGACAGTCCAAAATAGAAAGCTCTTTCACTTGAGGAAACACCAAATATTTGGCATTTTACTTTGATTAATCGAATCGTTTCATCTTTAATTAAATGTGCCTTCCACAAGCCTCACTTCCACCTTGACAAACACCTAAGCTGTTAACTTAAGGGCATTACTATCAGATGAGCTTTGATCCCCCCCCCCCCTTTCACCATGAATGGCAGTCCCAGTCCCACAATATTGCCTTCCTTATAACAGCAGAATACTCTAAATGCCTCTGGGCCAGTGTTGACAGAGAGGACAGGTTGAGTTGTTATTGCCCTCCAACTCCATTATATGTGAGCGTCTCTTTTGAGGAGTAGAAAATAGGGAAGAGGGCATTTAAGGATATTAGGTTTCAGCATAGAAGTGCGTTAAATAGAGTTAGATTGCGCTTTCATTAGAAGAGTGATTAGTGTTTACTGTTCTCTATGAACAACAATAGCTGAAATTAGTGTTGACATGTGTTATTGACACACATTAATCATCCGGCAAGGCCATTACAAACCAATCTCATTACAGATCAGTGGTGTCAACTTGGTTAGGCGTGTGAGTCAGGAGGTTACTCCACGCTCACTTATCACAGAGTGACAATCCACAGATGGCTGCATTTTTGAGACACATTAGAGGCTTAATAAAGAAAAGTGGACCTTAACAAAAAGCCTGGCATCAGAGACTTTGCGCATGCTCGCTGGTCTTTACTGTTGCATGAGAGTATGATAATCACAGGATCCGATCAAATGGGTATTTGGAGAAAATGTACGTTCATCATCACACTGTTGTCTCTGGGCTAGGAATTGAATCTAATGGCGAATGTGGAAGGTTGCTTGTGAATTTTAATGCATTTATATGTACATTTTCTAAAATGTTGCCTGTGTTTTTTTTTTTTTGTATTACAGAGGTAGCCACAGGAAAACTTCTGGATTTGGCAGAGGGAGCCAACATGGCACTGGTCCACTCAGGAACAAAGCAGACTGAATCGGATCCCTTTATGGTGCATAATCACGCAACAGAGAACAACAATACTGTATGGGTAAGACAAGAGTTGGGCTGGTCAATAAGTTTCAGCTGCGTAGGCTTGATAAGATGAGAACACAAGAATGCAATGCCGGAAAGACTAAGTAATTAGCCAAAGTGCTTTGTGATGTACTGTACCTGTTGTAGTCAAAGGACTGGATTCTATAGTTACACAGCTGCTACACAGTCAGACAATAGCCTATTGAACAGAACGGGCCTTATCAAATGGTCACATAGCTGCAGAGGGCGTGGGGCTGCAAGTAGCCTAGATTAACCTCCCAAGACCATTTTAAGGTAAAGAAAAATGGCAAGAGTAGACATGTGCATGTGTGAGTGTTTCCACATTTCAGAAATAAGCACTCTTTACTTACTACGAGACATAAACTCTATGTTTAACCAACATGCGTATGTTCTGTCTTGGCAGGAGTTGGAGGACGGTCTGGATGAGGCTTTCTCAAGGTGAGAACCAGTGTAGATTTGGGTTTTCCCTAAAGCCCGACCACTGCTAAACAGCCACACAAGCTGCTGTTCTGGAAATAACCACCTGTGGTTTGGGCTGCTCTCATAATAAATGCTGCCTCTCCCTCTGCTCGGCTCATCCCCAGTAAACTCCCACAGGCGGGAGAGATGGGCTCGGTTTACAGGCCCAGGCACAGCCGACACCCACCCTGAGTCATGCTGCTTTTGTAGGCTCAGTTTACCATAATCTCAGGCCCACACACTGATTTCATATGAGCCCAGAAAGCCTGTGATTACAAATAAGTGTTGCTGACTTATTTTGCAGTATAGTATACTTTTGAGTTGTCATTGCAGGGGAATAAAAGCACACAGAGAAAAAGTTCTCATAATTTGTAGGTTCAAGGTTGACAGGAAAGTCCATTGCCTATGCTGATTGGAATTCCAAAAAGTCTGCCTACGCCGTCAACAAACTAATCAGAATGGAGCTGGAGTCCTCTGTGATTAATGTTTCAATTTAGTCCCTATCAGCAGCACACTCAGATAAGCTGTGGTGGTCTGCTGTCAGGTTGCACAGTGCAGCTGTTTACAGCTGTTTGTTTCGGACTGCCGTTCAACACTTTATTAGCGCTTTTATTTCCTCGTCTGCTTTTCATTCCCTCTACTCTAATTCAACAGTGGGGCTTCTTATTCTCTCACTTTCATTTAGTGAAAGGGAGAATGGGCTCCACAGTCACTGTAATCAAGCGCTAAGAGGCCATTTTAGCCCTGTTATCAGGCGATTATTTGTCTGCACACACTGTAATTGCACCCTAATGTTGTTAATCTCCGCGCTCTGTGATTAATGAGGATGCTTCCAGCATTAGCACAGATGCATCTACATGTAGATTTGTGGAATTGAAGGAAAGTCAGGGGACCCGAAGGCCTGGTCGACGTCTTTGTCCACCAGGAGAAGATGATTGCACTGGTTGATGTTGAGGTCAGAGCGTGGGAGAAAATGAGAGATAATTCAGGATTCTGTGAATAAGAATATTATAGAATGATGATGTTTGCATTATCTTCACTGTACCATGTAGTCAGTGTGTGGCAGTTTACAGTTTGTGTGAGGATGCTCTGGATTAATGGATAGTTTATAGTTGAGTAACATAAATGTGCCTTGTCATCACTGTTCCTTCTGAGTAAGCTGTCCCACAATATTATTTAACATAAAAAGACTATACACAACAGAGTGTTCAGAGGGTGTAACTTGCATTTAACTTGAGTAGCACATGCACCATGTACAGCTACATTGAGACAGGGAAAGTTTTTTTTTTTTTTTTTTAGTCTTTATGCTTTCCTAGTGACAGATTATGCACTCCTAGATCTGATCAAAGCACTCAGTATATGAACACCCCTCCTCTGCCTCCCAACATGTAACAGGCAGCAAGTTGTGGGCATCATAGGAACATCTGCTCCCTCACTGCAACACCACAGTTTAAATTCTGAGGTTCAAAGTGGCTGCTCCTAAGTTTAATTCCTTTTTATTTTTTGTGACATTTAAATTCTTTTAGATTAGAAGTTTAGTCACTTTACTTTTCACTCTCAAGCTCAGATAAATTTGTACGATGAGTTGTGTTGCTGTTTGTGAGACTGCACTGCCATCTGGTGGCGGTGGCGTGTTGAACACTGTTGTAGATCTGAAACTGTCTGTTAATCCTCGCGAGGCCAATATAATGTTTTTGTCTTAGGAAGATTAAGTTATAATTGGCCTGTGTTAACCCTAATATAATGGTCTTCTTGTTGGTCAACTCTAAGCATAAGAATTTGGCCATAAAGTCACACTCTGGCCGCAGTAAATGTATCCATTCACTTTATTATAAGGCTGTGCAGAATAGTTTCATCGTTGCCTGACTTGTGATGTTTCCTTTGCACCCCCAGCCGCAGTCTGGATAGCTTTGAATCCTACTCAGGTAACAATGTCATTCACTGGATCTAGTGACTTCCACCTCATTCTCCCCTAGTCAACCCACTATTCAAGCCTGCTCATCTGTCTGGATATCAGTGTTCAACCAGATTGATTAAAGACTCATGTAGTTTCACATTTATTTAAGGCCATATACCATTAACAAAACTTGTATGACTTGTTTAGAGACACATCAATGGGGAAACGTCCTCATTGTCATTGCCACAGTCTGATCCATCCATGAGCTTCATAAGGCGAGGTTCACTGCCACAGAACTTAATGTAGTCTGCCACTGTGTCCTCGTCTTCATCACAAATGTTTTATGTGTCTCCACTTCACAACCATCAGATTTGCACTCCGCTAGTGCCACAACACTGGATAAGACATGTCATGGTGAATGAAAATGTTGTGTGGTAACAGGTATATCTTGCTGTATATTTTGTGTTTAAATAAGCATTTTCTATGTTTTTTTGGGAGGTCTCATATTGGGTTGCTGTGATTAGTTCATGAAGGGAATCATTTTATCGCCATTGTGGCTTTGCCTTTTTTTTTATCATGTTTCTTTTCATTGGGAATCCCACTGTGTTTATAACTCATCCATTCTGTACCACTGTTGGTATCACACATTGTTCACAAGCTTTTTAAATGTAATAAATTGTCATTACTATTAACAGGAATCTTGAACTAAAATATTGTCTCTTTTCCTCTGTTCCTTTAGACTCGCTGAGTCTCGCACTAACCCCCAGGTCCTGGACATTGGGGTAAACCCTCAGGACTTCAACACTGAAGAGTGCCTGTCCCCGGGCAAATGGGACCAAGAGGACACAGACTTCACTGCACAAAAAGACACTTTTGGGTTCTAATGTGAAGCCTCTGCCAAGAAGGGAAAACAGGGAAAGATGAGGAGATACGGTGGTAAACCACAGTTGGAATCTGAAGTGACGAAACAGACATTTGTGACATCAGTAGGGTTTCCACTGTCTCCCAGCTGCCAAGTCCTCTCAGTGGTGCAGTCTAGTGGCTCTTTGATGCTCCTGCATCTACACAACCAGAGAAGGACAACATGAGGCTGCTCTCAGAACAGGCCAAAGCAATACAAACTAATTTATCCCTTTTCTATGAAACAACATGCAGTCATTTAATGTTTGTTACAGTCAGTGTATTACTTCCTTTTTTTGTGTCTGTTTACCCATTCACTGTTCGTAATGTGTTTGTGGTATGTGCTTGTGTACATTGCATTCAACAAAGTGTGAGTGTGTGTGGGTGTGTCATTAAGGTTAAGGTCAACAAGGGTGCTGTCACATATTTGATTCATTTAGTGATGGAGACGTAACTGGATTAGAGGGTAGACTCACTGGTGAAGCCACCAATGCACCAGTTCCAGTATTTGGCAAAACAGTAAAGTTACTACCTATGTGCTTCAAGGATTCAGCCGTTGGGCAACAAAAGCTTTAAAAAAAATAGTTTGTATGTGTTTGTCAAAGAGTGTTTGTGTGGAAAATGAATGAGAACAAAATGACAATCTTATTTTCTTCTTTTTTTTATATACTGCAAAATCTATTTTTGCACTCAGCATTTATCCATTTTTAAAAGCACATTTCATGTGAGGGAATTTTATGTCAATAAGCATCCAACTGATTATTTAGGCTTATATACAGTGCCACTATTCACTCTCCTCTTGGACTTTTTACTGTTTTTTTGTTTTACAGCTTTGAATCTCTGTGGATTCATTCGGCTTTTTCACTGTTTCGTTGATCACAAGATTTTCTTCCATTGTAGAGAACAGCAACACATTTCAAAGTGAGCAGGTCATAATTTCCACTCTGGGTCATGGAGGGAAGTCCAGAGTTGTTTTGGCTTCTCTTTGACCATGTCAGCAAGTCTCATGAATCCACTGTGATTCACAGTTGAAAAAACAAAACATGAAGTCCAAAAGGGTGAATGCGTTTTATCGTCACTCTACCACTGTATGTTAAATTATATTGCTGCATTGACTCTGCTAGTTTACTTTTTTCCCCCGGGAATCGTTCCCAGTGTTATTTTTGGCATTTGTTTATGTATGAATTTTATTTAATTCATGAATTTACATAAATTTTAAATGAAAGTCAAACTGTGTTTGTGTGATATTTATTCCAAAATCTGACTGTAGTGTTTTTTATTAACTCTTATGTGCCTCTAACTGGAAAAGTTCAATACAACTTGTGACTTGTTTGTCTTTAACAGTGCACTCAGTCATAGTGAGAGATAGGTAAAGTAATCAACTCATTACATTTTAAATGTCTTCTGTAAAATGGGAACATTAGATGTAATTGTGTTGAAAGGTCACATAGTTACCAAAATAAGATTCATCCTCTGAGATTTAAATTTTCCAGAACAAACTGAATGTAAATCAGGCTGACTGACATCACAATATTAAGTGTCTGAGCCTTTCAAAACACAAACACATCTGACACCATTTTAAACAACTTGACAACTACTTTGATAAAAGATGCATGACAGTAAAATGTCAAATATTCTCCATTTCCAATGTGAGGATTAATTTTTTTTTTGTTTTAAATATTTATCTTTGGGTTTTGAACTGTCAGACAAACAGACAAAGCAAATAATCTGAAGATGTCACCGTGGCATTTTTATAGACTAAACAAAGTACTGATTAATGAAGAAAATAGTAATAATGAAAATAATTGCTAGTTTTAGCTCTAGTTGATAGGATTCACATCATAGACATTAAGGCCACTGTGGTGCTATTGCGACATTATCTGTTTCCTGCCTCAATGAATGAATGAATGTTAGTTCTTCAGTGAATTTTGAATTGAGAACATGAATTTGTCAGTCGAGCTATCTCTTTATTGCCTGCTGCTGACAATTATTGACAATAATTACAATAATTTACAATATGAAATACATACGTAAAAATGTATAACCCTTCAATCTGCTGAAGCCTTTCTGTTATTTAATATATTCAAATTATTGGGAAATAAAATGTTTTAGGTTCTTGTGGATTGGGTTTACAGAACCAGAATCACTTTTATTGGCCAGGTGCACATACAAGGAGTTTGACTCCGGTTTTACCTTGCTCTCAATGTACAAACAAACACAGACTAACAGCATAAATAAACAGAAAAAGCTCAACAAAATAGACACAGACTAATATGTACAGTTATACATATATTATATATAAAGCAACAAAAACCAATAACATTTGTACACAGTAGACAATAGTGCATCTCTAATGTACATGAGTTAGGTGGATATGACAGTATATACAGTATGCACAGTAAAGGTAGATGTTTTAGAATGATAGTATTTATGTTTTATGTTTTAAAATAAAAACTGAAAAAAAAAATATAGTTTCCAGGTTTAGTGGCTATTAGAGTCTTAGGGCTCTATCTTGTACACTGGCGCTTGTATAATTCCTATTTTGCTCTGGACGCACATGGGAAGTTTCCCTCCACCGACACACGTCCTTAAATTAGGGATGAACTTGCGGTCCGGGGCGGTTCAGCGAAAAGAGGAGGCGTGTTCCGGCGCAAATGTTCTCTGGCGCTATTTTGCTGTTTCAGAAAACAATTCCGCCACAGACAAAGAAAAACCTGGTCTAAAGTCAGTGGCGCTTATTCAGATGCTATTTTAAGGGCGCAGACTTGAGGAGATGCGCCTGAGAGGCAGCAGCAACATCGCCACCCGGTCAGGACGGGCATTAATACTTTGCCGCATCCCGGACAGCTCCCGCTCCAGCATGTCAAACCCGGTTTGCTGCAGGAACGGGTGGTCCTCCGGCGTGTAGCGGGTCTGGATCCTCTGCTCCTAGGTGTTTGCGCTGCTCCATCCTCAGCTGGCCCTTGCGCACTGCTCCCGAGGCCAGGGTCTTCTTCCTGCAGCTGCGTTACATTGTTTGGATTTATTGTATGGCTGTGTTACATTTATTTCATGTCAATAATGTCACTTCTCGGTATTTTACGGCCCTGACGAGAACGCCGGTCTCCTCGGCAGTGAACCGCTCCTGTCGTGCGCCTGGCCCGCTGTTATAATAGCAATCCGCTGTTATGATAACAATCCGCTGTTATGATAACAATCCGCTGTTATAATATCAATCCGCCTTGGAACAAGCGCGCCTGCTTTTAAAGGGAATGTGAGATGACGCTCTGATTGGTTTATTGCACGTTACGCCCAAACCACACCTATGACTAATGTAGCTACTTCAGACCAACCCATTTTAGATTTGAAGAGTCATTTATCCCGCCTTTTTCAAATCTAAAGCTGGGTGTTTTGGTAATGTTCCATTCAAATGTTGTTATTGATAATGTCTGATTGATTTGTTACGTCTCAGAATATTATTTGATAATCAAGTCAATCAAATTCCCAGAATCTGTACTCCAGTGTTAGATAGTTAGATACCGTATGAACAGCGGGAAGCATATTTTTGGATGGAACATTATCAGATGGTTGGGGTTAGAGTGGGTTAGACGCTCTTAAAGCTGTTTGATTCTGTAATGACAATCCATCTACAAAATAATAAAGCTCTTCCAACTCAGTCATTTCTGTTTATTTCACACTATATATAAAATGAAGAATATTAAAAATACTTTCAGATAAAAGCTTGTTCTCTACTATAAAACAACTAATTTAGAATATCTTTTAAGATAAAATAAGTGTTTATATTGTTCCTTCAGAACGTTCCATTCAAATCTTTTTAAATGATCTCACTGTTATTTTCACCAGTGACATAATTTAACATTATTCTGAATATTTTCAATGTGTTGGTTTCCAGTTCCTCCTCAGTCGGGTGGGTATTTATTCATGATAATTAGCCTGTTGTTTGTTTGTTATTAGTAATGCACCCGTCATAGTGTCTCCTGTTGTGTTGCTAATTACGTATAAATGTTAAAATGTTGGTTATGTATAAAACCAGGCCAGCCTTTACAACAAGGTCGTTATAAATGATATTTAATAATAATGGTTGAGATGAGGAGTGGGTGGCCAGCCTTAGGGTTGCTGTTCACATTCACAGGAATTTGACCCTCTGAAGCTGGAAACAAGCCGTCATTATCAGAAGGTAAAACTGTTACCTTTCAGTCAGTTTATAGCAAACACTGACTCTCTGGTTAGCAAATGAGAATTTTGTATTGCAGTTGGATTTCCTTATTGATATCTATCTGATAGCAGTGTTCGTTCCAGTGCAGCAGGGCAGATATCTCAGTTTGAGGAGCACTGGCTGTGATTTAATTCTGTAAAGGTACTGACATATTTGTTTGACTGACATAACATTCAAGTTATGACACTGTGTGACAAGTGTGATGAATTTCTGAATTTCTGATTATTTATAGACTTAGGCAACATTTCATTCTTTCTTTTCATTCGAGACAGTGTAAATCTTCAAAAGTCAAATTCAGAAAAGTTCAAAGGTCAAACTATTCCACTATTAAGCATCTTAAAACATTTGTTTGATCATCTCTGTTAAAATCTAAATGAGGGAACATTTTCAGCATAAAAGCTTATAGTTTAAGTTCAGAACCTTATGGTGACCCAACTTTGGCCTGCAGGCTCCACTTTAGGCAGCCCTGATCTAGAGTATCTGGTCTCAGATTTACCAAACATCAGGTTTTTTTTTCCGTGGAGACTGAAAATTTGAAAATGCTTCATTAAAATGTATGATTTTATAGTTTAAATGATGTTCAATTGTGACAGGAAACTAATTAACAAACAGTAATTATCCAGTAGAAACCAGCAATCTGGAGAAACAGCTCTACCCAGTGGAGAATTGTGGCCACGACAGGAAAGTTCCTGAAGCCTCTGGACCTCCTTCAGTTGGATTATAAAAGCCGGGACATTCCCACTGCTGAGACACAAAGCAACACACATTAACAGTGTTTCATCTCACAACTAGAGGACTCAACACTAAACACTCGCTGAAGATGCTGTGCTCTCATGGGCTCCCAGTCCATTCATGGACTTGTACTGGCCTGTGCGCAGTCTGTGGCCAGAGGTCAAACCCGGCCGGCCCCGCTGTGTTGTCTCTGTAGTCATCCTCCTCAAAATGTTTGCTGCAAATGCGGTGATCATTTTCGCATAGTACTTGTATGGGAGTTTGCACATCCAGCTGAAGAACAACGTGCCACAACTGCAGGATCTCATGGTCATGGAAAGGTAGACAACTTAACTTAACTTTTATTCTCTTTTGTTTGTTCTTGTTTCTTCACTGTAACTCTGAAGTCGTGTCCTCTCTAACGAGGTTGGGACATTACGGACCAGATCGTCTCCGTGGATGGCTTCCACACTGTCCGGGTGCAGTCCCGTGGGAATTCAGTTGTTGCAGGAAGTTCTAGTGTGCAAATCAGAGAGTAGTGTGTGAAGACATGGACATTTTTGAGGGGAAATAAACTTTTTTTCGTCGCGAAGGCATTATCTCTTATCTATGGAAAAACAGGTAGGCGACAGTACTGTTTTGTACGGTTTCTGCACAACGTACGAGTTGAAAAGGCATGTTGTTGTCACGTAAGGGCCCTGATCATGTTGCACAGACATTTTAATTGCATTTTGTGTCTGTTAAGAGGAGCAAAAGGCACTCTTTAGGATATGCCCCCAAGGAATGTATTATAACTGACTGGGAGCTCTGGCCATTAGCTGCAGGATCTCCAGTTTGCTAGAACCAATTTTGGTCGTTCTTTTTCCTATTGACATTACTCGGTGACCTCTAGTGATCAAGAAAAGGGTAAAAATCTGCCGAAGTTCCCCTTTTCCCTTCCCCTTTAAGGGCTTTAATAGCGTATGATAAACAAGGAGCACCTTCTCATCCAGAACAGAAAGTTAAGCCCTCTTGCAAAAAGCTATCTGAGAACAGTTGTCCCAGACTGACTTCCTGAAAGATACTGTAGTATAAATGCCTCTGGGGGGAGCAGTGTGACCGTATCAAACATACTGGGGAAGTTTTGGATATGGCTCATATGTATTGGAGTTTTTACATACACTATCCTACAATATGTTAGCCAATGTTGCTGAAGTACTTGTGTGGCTGTTTTCTGTTGTGAACTTTGATAGGTGTGAGCCTGGAGCTTGAGACACAGTGTGCCTTTGGTCACCTGACATATTCAGTCCAGCTGCAGATCAAGG